AATTGAAATAATTATATTAAAAAACCCACAAAAAAGGGAAAAAAGAAAAGAAAAGAAAAACCTATCTTCTTCCTCCCACCCCAACCCACCCCACTCCCACTCCCACTCCCACTCCCACTCCCTATCCCCAAACCCCCTCATAAAATCATAAAATTGGCAACGCCACCATCGGCCACTGCCACTGCCACTGCCACTGTCACCGCCACCACCACAGGAACTCTACCACTGCCGCCGCCACCGCCTTAGCAAAATCGAAAGAAAAAAAAACATACTAATATGTACCCCCACCACTCTCCTTTACATCCATCACAGCTCGCTGTAAGCATCAAACATGGAATAACAATTAATTTCAAAATATGCAGATAGTCAATAGAGACAACATGTGGATGCCCAAAACAATATGATAAATTCTTTGTCCATCAATGGCGAAAAAAATCAAACCTGAAAAATAAGCCCACTGTTGACATTTAAAAATTCAAATTCTAAAACCCACAAAAAATGGATTTTTCAAAGCAGTGGCATAAGATGTGGTGCAACTTTCATGGATGAAGAGACATCTAGTGCGAAGTATCACTCTTTTTCACCATACAAAGTCATACGTGTTTTCACAATTAAAAATTTGCAGAAATCAAACAAACTCCATTCAGTTCCAGGATTGTTCTTCATAACTATTTTAATTGAGGACAAAGGCTTCGATTTGGGGGCGAGCTTCACCAGTCGCTGTTCCTCAGCATACGAACCATCATCACCACTAATCGCTGCCATCGATGATTTATGATTGGGCAGTGGTGGTGACGTTTTGAGGGTGATTTGATGAAAAAAGAAAGGGTGATTTGAGCTGGTGGTGGCCGGTGGTGGCGTGGCCAATTTTATGATTTTAGGAGGGGTTGGGAGATTTTGCAAAATGACCTATGAATAGTGGCTTTTTAAGATTTTTGTTAAAAAGTCAGTTTTACCCTTAATGAAATGGGTCATTTATTGCAGATCAAGTCCTCAATCCTTATAATTTTTTCGATAT